CCCTTTAGTATTTCTTGTAATTTTGGTTTGGTTTTTGCAAATTCCCTAAACTTCTGTTTATCTGGAAATGCCCTAATTTCTCCATCATGTTTGAGAGACAGTTTTGCTGGATATATAATTCTTGGCTGGTAGTTTTTTTCCTTCAAGGCTTTCTATATGTAATCCCATTGCCTTCTTGCCTGCATGGTTTCTGCTGAGTAGTCTGAGCTTATTCTTATTGACTCTCCTTTGTAGATGACTTTTCATTTGTCCCTAGCCGCTCTTAAAATTCTCTCTTTCTCTTTGGTTTTGGCAAGTTTGATTATAATATGTCTTAGTGACTTTCTTTGGGGATCTACCTTATGTGGCGTTTGATAAGCATCTTAGATAGATATCTTGTCATCTTTCATGGCATCGGGGAAGTTTTCTGCCAACAAATCTTTAACAATTCTCTCTGTGTTTTCTGTTATCCCCCTCTTCTGGTACTCCAATCACTCGTGGGTTATTCCTCTTGAGAGAGTCCCACATAATTCTTAGGGTTTCTTCATTTTTTTAAATCCATTTGTCTGATTTTTTCTCATATAAGTTGGTGTCAAGTGCTTTATCTTCAATCTCACTAGTTCTGACTTCCATTGCCTTAATTCTGCTCCTATGACTTTCTATTGAGTTGTTTAATTCTGAAATTTTATTGTTAATCTTCTGGATTTCTGATTGCCATCTCTCTATGGATTCTTTCAGCCTGTTAAATTTGTCATTATGCTGTTCTCTAATCTTTTTAAGTTCCTCTATTGCATGGTCTGCGTTTTGCTTAATTTCCTTCCTAATTTCTTGAAGAGTTCTGTCTATTAATCTTTTGTATTCTGCCTCTGGTAATTCCAAGAAATTTTCCTCCTCTGGAAAATTTCTAGATTCTTTGTTTTGGGAGCTTGCTGAAGCATCATAGATTGCCTCTTTATGTGATTTGATATTGAATGTTGTCTCTGAGCCATCAATAAGTTATTATATTTATTTATTTTATGTTTGCTTACTGTGTCGTAGCTTCTTGTTTTGTTTTGATATGTCCAAATAGGCTGCTCGTATGAGCTAGTTTGATTACTGGCATGTTTGAAGCTCTAATGTCCTGTCACCAGGTGGTTATGTTCTGTTACTAGGTATGTGAGCTCAGGAGTCTGTCCACTCCTCCTGTATGGTTTCAGCTCAGGTGCCCAGGTAGATAGCCAACAGGTGTGTGGTGTAGGCTCTCACCTACAGTCCTAGACAGGCATGGGTGATTGGTGTAGGCACAGACATCTGGCTGCAGCAGAGGACACACTCTGAGCAAGGCAGGGGGCTGACGACTGCCCCCGAGTGTCCAGGAGGAAGGGGTGTCCCTGTTCCCTAGAGCGTGTAGGTGGGTGGGTTTTGCAGCCAGACTATGAGCACCCAATGCTGTTGGCTGTAAAGACTGGGGGACACCTCTTATTCTTGGGCCCCTATCACAGGTGGCTAGGTGGGATGGGTGGAGCCACGGATCCTCAGACCCCTGATGTGGGTAGGTGAAGACCCTGCTTAATGGGCAGAGCAGTGTCAAATGTCACAAACTTGCCACTTCACAGCTGAAACCATTGAAGTTAAAGTTCTGGTATATACCCTGTTGTACTGGGGTAATGATGGCCTACACTGTTGAAATGGGCCCACACAAGTCTCTGCAGGGAGAAAGGCACTCAAAGTCCATGGATCCCTTATGCCTGTGCCTAGGCAAAGGACCTGTGCCTACCCTGGCTTTCTGGCTTAGGGGAGCTGGCAGTTTATTTTTTCCCCTGTTTGTTAATTTATTCACTCTTCAAGGCCAGGAGAATGGCTCAGGGCATGTGATGGATCCTACTTCTGGCCCAGGGGACTCGGCAATTGCTGAAGCCGATCTGGGACCCAGTGCAGATCAGGGAGAGGGGAGGTAAATGGGAGAGAGGTTTTTCCCTAAGGGGGGAGTTTTTGTTCCATGCAGTAGGCCGTACACAAGTACTTATCTTTCTCTGATCTAGGGCTGCTTCTCACTGGTTCTGGGTGGCCGAGTAGACCCTGCAGCTGGGTCTCTCCCAGTGCGGAATGTGCCTCCAGAGCACCGCTGCTTGCCTGCCTCTCCACTCACCCATGAGCTGATCAGGCCTGAAGGGCTCAGGCTCTTGCCGGGTCAGGTCTGGCAACTCCTCGCTGCTTCTGAACCGTCTCTCCCTCCCCCTGCCACTCAGTGCAGTCCCTCAACTTTGCCTTAGATGTTCAGGGCTCCTAGATTGTCATATATAATTGATTCACTTGTTTTTTTGAGTCTTTGTTGTAAGAAGGTCCACTGGAAGCATCTGACTACTCCACCATCTTGGACTTGCCTCCCATAAAGTTAACTCTTTAATTTCTTTTTATTCTTTTTTTCTCAAGTGTATATGTAATGGTTATGTCAATGTGCCAACAAGTCAACCAGACTTCCCTAAAAATACATTGACACCTGGGAAATTCACCTTTAGAAACTCATTTCTTTAGCTTGAGATGTTGAGGCCTTTAAAATGCTAATATACCTGAGAGTGAGAGCACACTAAAATCTGTTGCTTATACGCCAGTGTGAGGGAATTTCAGACTTTTCCTGAGGTGTATTTTGTAAGAGAACAGCTAGCCAAGCTGAGGTCACTGATTGGAGGTGAATTGTCTTTACCCGCTTCCTCCCTGATGGCACAGTGGTTAAGAGCTATGGCTGCTAACAAAAATGTTGGCAGTTCAAATCCACCAGCTGCTCCTTGGAAACCCTATGGGGCAGTTCTACTCTGTCCTATAGGGTCGCTATGAGTCAGAATCAGTTCGATGGCAATGAGTTTGGTTTTTAGTTTAACCTTGCTTTTGACTAACTTTAATGCTGTTGGTAGGTTTGGTGTAGGTTTAACTTGATGTGGTGCACCCCCTGGTGTGCAGGTGGAGAACAAGGAGCTCAAGCAGAGGATCCTTTCAGAGGTGGTGAAGTACCCGGAGAAGTTCAGCAAGGCCAGCAAGGACTTCTGTGAGGCACTGCTTGAGAAGGACCCGGAGAAACGTCTCGGGTTCAGAAACGGGACTTGTGATGAGCTGCGCACGAACCCCCTCTTTAAAGACATTAACTGGAGACAACTTGAGGCTGGTACTGTTACACGCATTTTAGGTTTGGGGCCAGTGTTTGCAGGAGGGTGTGTCTTATGTTTTAACTCATAGCCTGACCCATCCAGTTGGCCTCTTCCTAAAGTTTAGAGATATGTCAGCAGAGCAAAAAGGACTGGGTGATGGGCTTTCCTCTAGGTAGCCTCCTGCCCCCGAAATAATGGCTCCCACCCTTGCCAATTATCTCTTCATTCCCCAACATGCTTCATGACTGAGTATTATATAACTGACCAGGCTCCCTGGAAAAACCCATCTGAGGACTGTAAAGGCTGGAAATTCTTCAGGGATGATGGAATTTGTGTGAAATGTGCTAGTTTAACATAGAGTTAAAGATTTAAACTGCTGTTTTACATTTCCAACTCCCCTGTAATTTAAGGGAGCCCATAATACAAACTGAAAGGAGGGTTTGAGAAATTCATTCATTCAACCAGTTTTTGTTATCAAGTTTCATGTGCAAGGTACTATGGCGTATGTGTGTGCCTGAGAGAGAGAAGATGTTTAAGACACACATACCCTCTAGGCATCTACAGTGACATAGAAAAGTTAGAATATGTATACATATAACTACAATAAGTTATAAAACAAGTCCTCCAGGAGTCCAGGAGGAGGTTCCGCTCTGAGTGAAGGTGTGAATGTGGGCTGCAAGCCCTAGGGTATCATCTCAGGGACATATGAGTGGGAAAGCACATATAAGCGAGTTTAGGAAAGTCTTGACTACCAAGTACTGTATAGAAGGTTGGACTGTTGAAGTGGTTAAGCTGCAAAGTGTAGAGATCAAAGTGGTGTTTGAGAAGGAATAATCTGGTGGCCAAATGAATGTAGATTAGAAAGGGGGGGACTGGAGCCCTGAACATAAGTCCTGAGGCCACTACAATAGTGTATTTGCAAGCCAATACTGGGATAAATTAGAATAGTGTCAGTGTGAGCTGAAAGGAGGGGACAAATACAATAGGCATGAGGAAGGAAGAATCAATACAACTAGATGATTGATTGGGTGGGGGGTGTTAGTGGTGGGGTGGAGCACTGGGGTGAGGAGGCCATCAGTGAGTGACATTGTATATCTGGTTGCTGGGAGAATCGTGGTTCACTGATATAGATTAGACAGAGAAGCTGGCTTTGGAAAGAAAAATGCTGAGTTCAGTTTTGAACATGTTGAGTTTGGGGTGTTAGACCTTCAGATGAAGACGCCCATCTGGAAGGTTGGCATGAGACCTCTGGATCCGGGAGTCTGCAGAGAGGCTGTAGGTGAAGCAACATGTGGGTTTGAGATCTCTAATGGAATGAGTATGGGGGGAAAGAGCAGAGCAAGAACAAAGGGGAGGGGGAAGAATACCTTGTCCTTTATGATGAAGATTTGGGAAGGAGCAAATACAAGGGCCAAAATTCCTTCAAAATAATCTTCCGAATTAGACTTTAAGAATCTCCAGCTTTATTCAACCAATATTTAAGCACCTACTATGTGCACTGTGGGAGGATACCAAAGCACCTAAGATGGAATTCCTGCCCTCAAGGAGTTTGCACCTTTTAGGTATGCTATGTTTTCGTTATTAGCTACTAGTACGCTTTCCTAACAGCAGCGTTTTCACCTGAGCCACGGAGGAAAGAATTCCTAGGTTAAATGGCTGTTTCCTTTACATTATATGTTGTTTCACCTCTTCTGTTTTCCCTCTTCTAACAGGAATACTGATACCTCCTTTCATCCCAGACTCCAGAACTGTCTATGCAAAGAATATTCAGGATGTAGGTGCCTTTTCCACAGTTAAAGGCGTGGTGTTTGACAAAACGGATACAGAATTCTTTCAGGAATTTGCAACTGGCAACTGCCCCATCCCCTGGCAGGAGGAGATGATTGAGACAGGCGTTTTTGGGGAGCTGAATGTGTGGCGTTCTGACGGGCAGATGCCAGACGACATGAAGGGAATCAATGTTCAGCAGCCAGCAGCACCCTCGTCCAAATCAGGAATGTGTCTGGTTTCCTAAGGGAGCTCCCTGAGGCTACAGGCATTCGCTGAGGGAAGCCAAGGAGAGAAGAAGGGAGAGACCAGCCTATGTAGAGGAAAAGGAAAATTCTGGAAACTTCAGCGTGGATATGCGTTAATCTATCAAAGGACTAAAATGCCTTTGCGACTTCAGTTGTAAATGGAATCAGCTAGTGAGCAAGTAGGATTCTTCTGTCTCAGGTCACCTCTTGTGTGGCTGAGTTTCCTCACTAGTGCAATGAAAAAAAAAAAAAAGGTGTATGTGGCAGAACAGCTAGACGTTTCCACCTGGAGTAGTGAGCTTCCAAACTGTAAACACTTCGCTTTTTTTGTCCCCATTTCACTATAAAAAAGACGAAGAAAGTGTTCTCTGGATGGAATACACGAATAATGATATAAACTCTCAAAGGGCCTTTGGCATAGATGTACAACCTAACATTTTTGGGCAAAAGAAAATGGTTTAATGGAGACTCTGGATGATGCAAGTTGTTAAGTGGTTGGCTACTAAGCAAAAGGTTGGCTATTTGAATCCACCCAGAGGCATCTAGAAAGAAAGCCTGGTGATCTACTTCTGAAAGATCACAACCATGGGGGGGTGGGGAGGAGGATGGTTTAATCAGGAGAGATTAAAGTTTATTTTGGGTTTCCTGGTATATTAATTGTTAATTTCTCAGAGCCCAAATCCTCAGTGGGATTTGCTCTTTTGGTTAGTCCAGGGGTTGGCAAACTACAACCCGCAGGCTCACTGGCACAGCTAGCACTGTGAGCACTCTGACCCCGTTCCTGCTTCATGCTCAGCTCCTGCCTCCTGACTACCTGGCTGTTACCCAGGGTCTGAACTGGTCACTGACTACACATTGGGGACTCTGCTGTTGGCAACTGCTGAGTACTGAGTGGAGGAATCTCAGTTGCGGTCACATTGCCTCCAGGTCAAATTGAGACGGCTCTCCCCATGAGGAAGGAAGGGAAGGGCGTGCGGTATCTGGCTGTTCCTGGAGCACAGAGTAAACCTGATCACGGAGCCTCCTCCCTCCTCTGCCCGCCTGCCAAGCCTCTGCCCCTCTGGTGCTCCTCTTCATCTCGACAATGTTTGCAGCTGATGACAACTGGGTGCAAAGGGGGCCACTGCCCTGGAATACCTGCCCCCACCAAATGAGGCAGGGTTGGCCTGGAGTTTTCTCTCTTGCTATATGAGTACCTACATAATATCCTCTATTCTACCAGTTTGCCACTATTTTCTATTTGGTCTTTTCCAGAAAATATGTCCATCCCTGGGTTGGTTGATCTCATCTTCCCATGAGGACCTGGTCTTGCTACATGCAAGAGCAGGCACAAGTTCTCACTGCAATTCCCTCTCTATATTCCCAGCAGTAACAGCACTAAAGATTTAAACCCTAACCTAAGGAATAACACTTAACGTTAGCCTGTCTTACCTGATAAACTCCAGAGTACCACCTTTGTGTCTGGCCTTTCCAATTCCACTTTTAACCTCAAAGGCTCCCCCAAGTGCTTTATGCATTTTAATGTGAAGAACTGAGTTTTTGTTGCATCTGCCTCTGAAAACATTCCTTCCTAAACTGAGATGGTGACAGTAGTATGGACTGGAAAAAGGACCCAGGTGGAGCAGCTCCAAGACGCAGGGGAGGAGTGATGACTTGGGGAGGCTATAGACTCTTCTCCAGAAGAGTCTCCTGTCTTTTCTTAGGGAAGAACTTCTAATGAGTTCCCTGCAACTTATGTACAAGTGAGAGAAGGAGCTATGAGCAGCATCGTGTGTTGGTCACAGGACACAGAGAGGAAGATGGGATGGCCTCATGAGCCTCAGAGAGGACCTAGCAGTAGAAACAAATCATACCTTCTTCTCTGGTAAAAGGGGCCACAGCACTATTGTCTGGCAATGCAATTTTCGGACTGAGTATTGTTGGTCACTTGGGAAGGTCCCACTCCAGTGATTTCAGAAGGATGTAGCAGTTCTCTATCTGGTGGGGCTGAGGGATTTGATAGGAGTCCTTTGTGATCTCAGCACATGTGCTGGGGGTCACTGCCACCCACTGGCAGAGAAACAGCTGCCTCATAAGAGTTAACTACTGTGGAAAACATTCATGCCCACAGCACAGTCACCACGACATCTGCTCCTTCACTCGAGAGGAAAGAAGAGAACCTTGGCCATCGACAATTTTGGAGGATTACTGGCTCTAACCTAACTCATTTCTCAGGGACCCAACTAACTCCCATTTGCTTGTAAAGCCTCTGAAGGAAAGATTACCCATTCCCTCAAGCAGTAGTTACTTGGCACAATCATTAGTTCGTATTTTAATAAAAACTCAAAGTCTACTAGTTTTTGTGGAGACATTTCAAATGTCTTCTATAGAAGTAGTCTTGTGCACATAGAGACTTTACTTGGAAAACAAACTTGGGCTGCTGAAGTAAACCTTACCAGAATTATCTTTCTATTCTGACTGTCTGATACTGTAGAATCATAGAATGCTAGCTCTAGAAGGACCCTGGAGAGGTAGTGTGTCCATTGGTTTTTGGACTGTGATATCTCAGGGGATGCTTCGGTGGGGTAGGGAGCCAGGTGGATGCTGAGATGCCATCCCTACTCTAATCACAGCAGCTGTGATTTCATCTTTATTTGTTGGAGTTTCCTGTAGGATTTTATTTCACTGAATTTTCAAACAGCTTTATTGAAGTACAGTTGACATGCAGTATGCTGCACATATTTAAGGTGTACAGTTTGTTAGATTTTGACATATTTGTACGCTTGTGAAAGCATCAGCATAATCAAGCTAATAGATACATCACCCCAAAAGTTTCTTCAATTCCCTTTGTAATTTCTCCCTCTTACTCCTCTTTGCCCCTCCCCACCTCCAGGCAACAACTGATTTGCTTTCTCTCACTATAGACTAGTTTGTAGAATTTAGCTAGTTTGTAGAATTTCATATAAATGGAATCATACTATATGTATTTTTTTTTGGTCTGGCATCTTTCACTCAGTATAGTTGTTTCAAGATGTATCTATGTCCCATGTATCAGTAGTCCATTCCTTCTCATTGCTGAGTAATATTTCACTGCATGGCTATACCATAATGCTTTAATACATTCACAAGTTGATGGACATTTTTTTTCTTTCAGTTTTTGACTGTTACAAACAAAACTGTTATGAACATTCATGTAAAAGTCTTTGTATATAGATACATTTTCTTTTCTCTTGGGTAAATACCTAGGATTAGAGTGGCTAGGTCATACGTTAGGCATAATGTTTAGCTTTCTAGGAAACTGCCAAACTGTTTCCCAAAGTTGTTGTACTATTTTACACTAACACTAGCAGTGTATGAGCATTCCAGTTGTTCCAAATCCTCGCCAGCACTTGGTATGGTCAGTCTTTTTAATTTTAGGCATTCTAATTGTTGTGTATCTACTGTATTTTAATGTGCATTTTCCTAATGACTAATGATGATAAGCAACTTCCATGTGGTAGCCTCGCTTCAAATCTTTTTGCCCATTTAAAAAAAAATTAGGTTGTTTATTTTTTTATTATTGAGTTTTGAGTATTGTTTATATATTCTGGATACAAGTTTTTTTGTTTTTGTTTTTCAATCAGATATGTGATTTGCAAATATTTTCTCCCAGCTGTGGCTTGTCTTTTCATTCTCTTAACAGTGTCTTTCAAAAAGCTGAAGTTCTTAGTTTCGATGAAGTACAATTTGTCATTCTTTTCTTTTATGGATTGTGCTTTTGGTATTGTATCTGAGAAATCTTTGCCTAACCAAGATCCGTAAAGTAAACCCTTCCTTGTGTAGTAGGAGCCCCAGATGTCCAGGGGGTAGTTTCTTCTTCTAGCATAATGGAAACATGACTGCCTTCCCTGGCAGAAGCGTTCTTTCCTTGCGTGCTGGAATTCCCAAGCCCACCAAGTCTAAGTTAGTGGGGATGAGAAGAAAAAAATATCCAATAGGTTATTTGGTATAATAGTGAGAGGGGTCACTCCTGTCCCTCCCCCTTGGTTCCTGAAACCTGTGTATGTATTTATGTGTATGTATGTATGCATATGTGTGTGTGCATAATTTGCCACAGGTCTGGGAACCCTATCTTTAGCTCATAGTTTAAGACATTTACAGCATCTTGTTGGACAGAGTCCTAACCTTACAGGGTGTTGTCTTCCAGCTAGCATTCTAACTGAAACTCTGAAAGGCCATTTCATTGTTCTATCAAATCAACTTTTTGGGAGGTGTTGGAGCATGTAATAAGACTAATAAATTCATGAACATGGACTCATTGATACTTTTTTCTTTTTTGCATTAAAACATGATCTCTGTTTGGAGGCAACGTTGTGTGGGAAACCATGGTAATGGACAGGGCATTCTTTAAGTTCCTAAGTGGTGACTTTGGCAAAAGCATAGTGGGCAAAGAAAGCAAATCCATACCTTGAAGGTAGTGCCTTTCATGACAGAAGAGGTCCAATGCAATCAATCTGCCACTATGAGTCAGCTGGTACCCCTGGGGGATACTTGGCAGGGGATCAGTGAGTACTGGTGCCCTCAGCAGTGCTGGTAGCCTGATCAGCCTTGGTGAGGGGAAGTCCATGCTGATCAGCCCGTGTATAACCTCCATCCCTGCCATTATAGCCAGGTTGAACAGTGGAAACAGGTCTGAGTCCAGGTCTCTATCCATAACGATGACAACATGGACATGGATTTGAGGGGGACTTTGCTTGTTTACCACGACTCATCTGTCAGTTTGTTGTACTGTGGTGACGTGTGTTGCTGTGATGCTGGAAGCTATGCCACCAGTATTTCAAATACCAGTAGGGTCGCCCTTGGTGGGTAGGTTTCAATCTAGCTTCCAGAAGAAGGCAGACTAGGAAGAAAGGCCTTTCTACTTTTGAAAATTAGCTAGTGAAAACCCTATGGATCATAACAGAACATTGTTTGATTCACTTGCTTTGGACATATCATCAGGAAGTATCAACTGTGGGAGGAGGACATCATGTTTGGTGAAGAGGAGGGCTAGCAAGAGTGAGGGAGACCCTTGGTGAGATGGA